AATAAAATAAAATGATTTAAAAAAAAAAAAAGCAAGTCAACAGGAGTTTCAACCCAGGTCACAGCGGCAGACAGATAGTAACCAAGATGTGATAGGAACTGAGCAGGCTGGCCTCACTGGTTCATATGAATGCAACATATGTAAGATTTGCCATAGGCTGCTAGTCCGTTTTCCTTTACCAATCGGTAATAGACAAGGACTTCCGAAATATTACATGCAAATGAGCACCCCAGGTGTATGTAAAAAAGCAAAGACAAGCACATCTTTTCCCTCTTTTCTGCAAACAGCCCTGCTACCTTGTTTAATAACCAGCTCTGTAAGGAAGTCCCTAGGAATAAAAATGTATCCTGTAGGATTCAATCTAGACCAGCGGCTCTCAACCTGTGGGTCGCCACCCCTTTGGGGGTCGACCAACCCTTTCACAGGGGTCGCCTGATTCATAACAGTAACAAAATTACAGGTATGAAGTAGCAATGAAAATAATTTTATGGTTGGGGGTCACTACAACACGAGGAACTGTATTAAAGGGTCTCGGCATTAGGAAGGTTGAGAACCACGGATCTAGACTAAGGTGACCAGATGTCCCGCTTTTGGCGGGACAGTCCCGTTTTTTAACAATTTGTCCCGTGTCCCATGGCATTTTTAAAAAGTCCCGATTTTTGGAAAGAGTGCACGACAAGCTAGGGTATACAGTTTTCGGCTGCCATGTGGCTGGCTATTTTGCCAGGATATGAGTTTTATCAATGGTGTCCCACTTTACCAATGTTAAAAGCTGATCACCTTAAATTCTAGACCTACTCCTCACCAACAACAATCTTGTTTTTTCATCTTTTGCATTTACAACAACAGTTAAAAGACAGTCTACTATCTGACTATTTTATGCATTCAAGGGGAGCCCAGCAGCAAGCGGGAGAAGAGCCAGGTTGGTGAGAGGGAGTGAGGCCACTCAGGCAGCTGGTGGTTCTTTGTTTATTTTCAAGTTCAAATTCTGCCTTTATTTACAAAAGGGTGTGATAAAATCTCCCCCTCCCCACCAGCTGGTGGTTCTTATGAGCAGAGTAGGGCGGAGGAGCTGGTACAGGGCCACGAGGAGTCCTGGGCAGGCAGATCGATGATGCATAGGAGGGCCAGATAGCTGGGCCCAGAATAGGTGGCAGGAACCAGGGCCACAGGAGTTGGGTGGGAAACTAGGAAGTCTCTTGCCCTCAAGAGGCTCCTCTGTCACCTCTACAGCTTCTGCCGCATCTAAGTGGCCTGGCACCACCTGCTTGTGAGTCTGGGACCCACCCATGACCGAGGACCGTCTCTGGGGCAGGCAGTGGGAAGGTGAAGATGTGAAGCACGGAGACTTGGAGCACCCACCAGGGAATCTAGGGCCCCTGCTGCTCTGTAGGTAGCAGGCAACTCCTGACCACCACTACCACCGTCGACCCAATCCCCCAGCTCTGTGGCGGTGGGGTGTCATGCTGGGGAAGAGGGTCTCATCATGCTATGCACATCCCTAGGACACACTGTAGGTGTCCAAGGGGTCCCGAGCAAGGAGGTGGGGGGCACCAGCACCAAAGACATCCTGATTTTCACAGAACAACCTGGACTTTGGAATTTAACCATGTTGCTAGGGGAGGAGTGGGTGTAAATGAACTTAAAGAACAAGCTGCCACAGCAGATACCTATACTTTATCCCAAATTATGGAGCTATTGTATCCCCTAAAAAATTAATTGCCAAGAAGGTGCTGAGTAATTTTTTTTTCTTCCCCGAAAAAAGGCTGGTAGGCCAACTCACTTTGGATCAGATTCTCTGGAAACACGCAAGCATGTACCCCTTTCCTACTCCCCGGAGGCAGGGCTGACTTGGCTGATCAGTCACCCCGGCTTCCGATGCTTTCTGGGCTACAGCACTCACAATTGTTAAGCCCTGGTGGTAATAAAAACTAATTGTTGCTCAGGGTGGGGGAAATTGCCTGGCGAATGGCCTAAGGAAATCTTCCAAGGGATGGAAATATCTGGATCTGGGGAGCCTTTCCTGGAATAAATTGGTGCCTGTTTTTTCAGTGGGAGCTGCCCTCTTGACTCGTGTGTTGTTTGGGGATAGAAGCCGCCTGAAGTTGATGCTTTGGCTTTTGTGTTTGATGTCACTCACTGTCACATGGCATGTATGTACCGGGAGTAGAGGCAGTGTCTGGGGGCAGGGTCAAGAGCTGGGGGAAAGAGGGGGGCTCGAAGCTGTTAGGTAGCTGGATAGGGAGTTGTTCCTCTCCATGCTTAGGGGGCCCCCTACAGGAAGTTGGAAGCTGATAAAGGCTATAGGGCCTGCTTACATTCAGGCCCTGGAGCCAGGAAGGCGGTACACCTGGGTGGACCCAATCTAGGCCAGGTGGGCTTAATTCAGCCAATGGGGTCAACCAGCACCGTGGACCACGCCTCCCAGCAGAAGGTCCTAAAAAAAAAAGCCTGAACCGGGAGACCACCCTCTTCTCTTTGAGTGGCTCCCCCATGGTTTACTGCCGGGGATCCCTCACAGCTGTGCCTCAGTCTCTCTTTTTTCCCTCTGGCCTCAGAGGCGCCATGTGTGGGTGTGCAGAGCTCTGAGGGTGCCTGTGGCCATGACTGCAAATCCTGTAACATCTTCTATCCTTTATAAAAAACCCACTTGGATCACAAACCAGGCTTCAGCGTGACTTCTTTCTCGTGCGAAGCCAAGGACCAAGGCATTTCTCACCCAAGAAGTCTAACAAATAACAAAGCCTTACCCTTGCCCATGCCTTTTGGGAACATGGACAACTGGAGAAGTAAGGTTTCTCTTGCCCCTGTGAGTCTTCAAATGTGGGGCAGTGCCAGCCTGTCTGATCTTAAGCGGAGAAAGAGGCAGCCTGGCCTTCCCCTCGGTGCTACTCTGACCCGACCGTCTCACCTGTCGATGGCGATGGCCAGCAAGGCGTTGGTGGAGACGTAGAGTGAGACGGTGCGCAGGTAGTTGACCGAGGCACAGAGCACGTGGCCGTGCTCCCAGGAGAGCTGTCGCACCACATAGTAGTCCATCTCGAAGGGGCAGCAGACGATGGCCACCAGGAAGTCGGAGATGGCCAGGTTAGCAATGAGCAGGTTGGTGAGGTTGCGCAGCTTCTTATAGCGGGCGAGGGCAGCGATGAAGATGAAGTTGCCAATGCCGCAGACCAGCATGATGCCTGCCAGGGCGACACCAATGACGATCTTGGCGGCAAAGAAGGTCCTGGTCTTGGTCATATCTTCATCTTCATCCAGAGGGAGGTCGTAGTCACCGTAACTGAAGTTGTAGGGCAGGGAGGAGGCATGGTCTTGGAGTGCGTTGAAGTTGGGTGCAAGACTGGTGTTTCTGTTCCGGGCTGCCATGGTGTCCCCCACGGATGAAGTGGTGCTGAGGGAGATGTGTGTGTGTGTGTGTGTGTGTGTGTGTTCCTACGTGCTTCAAGATGGGTGTCCAGACCCTCTGTTCTTACAGGATTGGTAAGCGTAGCACCCCGGCCCACATCCTTTGGAGAGTCAACATGCCACCTTGGATCCTGGAAGGAGACATAAGGAGTGGGCAACATGCAGGAGAACGCCTGTAAGCATTTTCCCAGCGTTCCCCCCAGGTGCAGGCCAACCAGACCCCTGTCTACTGGCAGACAACCACCTAGGGCTGGGTACAGGGGACCAGAGAGCTGATGCTGGGAGATCCCCAATGGGGCACAGGATGAACTAGAGTCCCAGTGTTTGTCACAGTGGACAAGACCCCTTTCTAGAGGGTGCTGAAACCACCCAGTAGGGCTGCAGAAGCAGCCATTTTAGGGGATGGATAATTTCCAAGAAGGTGCTGAATAAGCCCCTTCCCCTCCCGTCCCCCTGAAAAAAGGGGGCAGTAGGCTACATTTAAAAAAGTATGGACTAGACTTCAGAAAGAAACACTCAAGAATGTATCTCTGCCCTGTTTGCAGAGAGCTGGGATGGTTTGGGTTCTCAATGGCCTCAGCACCCCCCTCAGTGGGATCTCTCCCTTGGGGCTTCTGGTAGCTTTCCGAGCCACAGCATTCACAGTTTTTCATCACCCGCTGAGAAGGGAGCAGGAGGGTCTTTCCTTGAAAGCAGGACACTGTGCCTGCGAACCTCTTGTAGGGATGGAAACATCCTGTCTCTTTCTCTGCGGGGCAGGGAGCTGAGTGACTTGGGGCACGCTCTGCGGAACAGAAGCTGTGCTGTTACTTCCGTGACTGCTAGGTAGCTGCCTGGACTCACGTGCCCTCGCTGATCCGGGCCAAACCACCGCCCAATCCATTTTTATGTGGGCAGGCTGAGTCATCTTGGGCTAGTGATTTCTGCTCCCCGTGTCCCAACCTTCCTGTAAAAAATCCCTGCTGCCCAGCCTACAGCCTGGCACAGAGCCAGGGGCTGGAAAAATCATGTGGTGAACGCACTCATGAAGACCAGGACCAGGATGCTGCTGCAGGGGAGGGGGCGTGAGTGGGAGGGAATTTTTTGGCTGCTCCCTTGGTCTTGGGGAACCCAATGCAGAAATAAATCCTTTGTTTACCTCCCCCCCCCACCTACCCCATCCTACCCTACCCCCAATTCAATAGGATCTACTCTATCACCTCTCACCTGGCCCCCTTGCTGCCCATCCAGAATCTCCCTGTATGGAAGGCATCACCTGGCTTCATCCAGCACTGTGTCCTCTGGGAGTGGTGGGGTCTTCAATGCAAGGCAAAAGAAAACAGATCCCGGCTGGGGTTCTGGGGAGTGGAATCTGGGGAGTCTTCAGGAGACCCTGTCCTCAAAGGGCCAGAGTAAATCCTTTGAATTCTTGGTGTCAACATGCCCGCAGGAAGGGAAGAGTCTGAGGTGCTGAGCCCTGGGTGATGGGGCATCCTAGGGTCCAGGGCACCGCTGAGGACCAGAGAAACCACCTGGACTCCAATACCCACGGTATGGGCGACCACACCATCCAGCTCTGAAGACCCCTCCCAACTTACAGCACCCTTGAAATGCTATCAAGTCTGAGGTGCTGGTAGCACGAAATAGGTCAAAATGGGACAGCGCATTTGGCCCACCGTTCTGAGGGGAAGGAAGAAAGAGGCGGCCAGGACCCACTCCCTGGGAAGGGGCAGCGCTGGAAGTGGGCGTCAGGGACTCTCCAACCTACGAAGCGCCTGCCTGCTGTGTGCTCCGGGGTGGAATACTCTGGGAAGAGAGATCTAAGACGTGGGCCCACACCACACCTGGGGTGTCCTCCTTCTGGTCGCCTCTTGGTCCCAACGCAAGGCCCCAATCTCCAGAGGCGGAGAAGCCACGGTGTGGCGGTGCCAGACAGCCCTTGTCCGCTTCCAAGCCTAGCGCACCGGGCACGCACCTGGCGGAGCAGGTCCGGCTCCTCCAGGTGGTTGTACTCCCGGCTCTGTGCTAGTGGCTCCGGGTCCCTTCGCTCGGCTCCTTCAGTCACCTCCCCGCGCAGTTCTCGGGGGCGCCGCCCAAGCCCCGCTGGGAACCGAGCCTACAATGCCCGCGCCCAAAGCCAAGACCGCGGAGCGCCGCTGCGGACAGAAGATCCTGGATGTGAGCGGAGGAGGCGGGGCGCAGGAGTCGCCCCGAGATGATGCCCCCTTTGGTCTCACCTCTCAGGAAGCCGCCACCACCCCGCCCCAAACCCACCCCCGCTCCGGACCCGCCCTGACATTTTGGCGCCCGCCCGCTTGCCTCCTCGGGCCCCCGCCCAGCGGGCTATAGCCCCAGCGGACCGGACGGGCCTCCGGGGGGTCTCCCAGCACCCACTCCCTACCCACGGCTAGTCCCGGACGCCCCGGGAATGGCGAGGGGCAACGCAGCCTGACTGCCTAAGAAGC